ATACTACTCAGCCATCAAAAATGATATCTTGCCACTTGCAATGACGTAGATGAACTAGAGGGTGTTACACTAACCAAAATATGTCAATCAGAGAAGGTCAATTATCATATGATCTTGCTGATATGTGGAATTTAAGAAACAAACACAGGATCATAGGGGAAGAGAGGAAAAAATAAAACGACAAAATCAGAGAGGGAGACAAACCATAAGAGACTCTTAAGCATAGGAAACAAATTGAGAGTTGCTAGAGGCAAAGGAGTGGGGGATGGGGTAACTGAGTCATGGACATTAAGCAGAGCACATTATATAATGATCACTGGCTATTATATAAGACTGATGAATCACTGAACTCTCCCTCTGAAACTAGTAATACACTATATGTTAATTAATTGAATAAAAAAACAAAATGATCTTGAAGTGTCAAGGAAAACAGTGACAGTATTTGTTGCCAATGATAAAATTTAAGCTTTCAGATAAAATTAGAATATTGGAAAACTTGTATCTGCAACTGTGAGCCTGACAACCTCCCAGTACTTAAACACTTTTCTGATAAAATAAGTAGTAATATTAACAAAAATGATTCTTTAAAATTAAATAATAAAATGTGTTAATAATTTAAAAGACAGATTAAAAAATCTTTAAAAAAGATTGCATTTAAAATAATCAGCACTTTGGGGCACCTGGGTGGCTCAGTGGGTTAAGCCTCTGCCTTCTGCTCAGGTCGTGATCTCAGGGTCCTGGGATCGAGCCCCACATCAGGCTCTGCTCAGCAGGGAGCCTGCTTCCCTCTCTCCCTGCCTGCCTTTCTGTTTACTTGTGATCTCTCTCTCTCTCTCTCTCTGTCAAATAAATAAATAAAATCTTAAAAAAAATAATAATCAGCACTTATAATATATTCTATATGATGTATTTATGTAAAATCATTACCATGTTTAACAACAACAACCACCCCAGTGCTTACTGTCCATATACAGGTCTTGCAGGAGAAATTCCAGCTGTAGGCAAAACATGGCATTTGGTCCAACTGAGAATAATCCCAGCTCCTTGTTCTAGCCCTGGCCTCATTTCTGCCTCATTTCATTTTCCTGAGTTTTGAGTTCCAACACAATGTGGTTTAAATTTCCACAAATGGGTAGGAAATGGGAGTACCTCCAGGAGGGTAGTAATAGTGTGAATCCAAAAAGGCATTAAATGCTTAATGGTACGAAGTTTCCTTTTTGGGGTAAAGAAAATGTTCTGGAACTATATAGAGGTGACGACTGAACAATACTGTAAATGTACTAAATGCCACTGAATTGTACACTTTAAAAAGGCTTATTTTATCTAAGGTAAATACTTATCTTAATAAAAAGGCATAAAGAATGTTATGGACAAACACATTTTGGGATACTATTTCTGAATTTAACTCAAAATTCACAGTCACTTGGAAGCTTATGCCAGATATATGTAGACAGGTATGAGATCATCTAATTTAATTATTTTCTAATTTACCTTTGAAATTTAGTTCTTGAATCTTTCAAAGATACTAGCTCACCTTCATGGCACAAAATGTAGCTGAGTGACTAGAAGACACATAATTATCCCTGCAATGTTAATGTATTTAGCTGACAGATCCCCAGTATTCAAGAATTCTACGTCTCTGCCCATATAAACTCCTCACTCATCTTTTTCTGAAAAGCATGCCTTAGCACAAGTGCCCTGAACCCACAAGCAGCTCTCCTGGTCCATGGGTCTTGCAGTTCAAGTCCTATGTCTTAGCACTCCTGAAAAGACACACAGAAAAACCTATGGGAATTAAGTACAGACTTTGGAGGTGGGAGGGTGGAAAGAGAGCTCATACCCAAGAAAGGGCTTATAGATGCTTGCTCAAAATGACCATGTTCCTACTTTATTAGGAAATAAACTGCAATAAAAAGCCTGTAGAAATTTATGTTCAGAACTGACATTCTTACATCTACATAGACTCCTCATTATTGTGTATGTGTTTACTGAAATATAGTACACATACAGTATTTTATTAGTTTTAGGTGTATAACATAGTGATTTGACAATTCTATACATTATGCTATGTTCATGATTAAGCATAGTTACCTTCTATCACCATATGATTCTATTACAGTATTATTGGCTATATTTCCTACGCTGTACTTTACCTCTCTGTGTTTTATTCTACAATTGCAAGTTTTTACCTCTTAATCCCATTCTCTTATTTTGCCCATCCCACCTCATCTCCCCTCCAAACCACCAGTTTTTTCTTTGTATTTACAAGTCTGTTTCTGTTTTGTTTTCTTAGATTCTATCTAAATATGAAATCATATAGAATTTGTCTTTCTCTAATTTATTTCACCAAGCATAATACCATTTATCTCCATCCATGTTGTCACAAATGGCAAAATTTCATTCATTTTTATGACAGAATCATATTCCATTGTATGTGTGTGTGTGGGGGTGTGTATATATATATATATATATATATATATATATATATATATATATATCACATCTTCTTCATCCATTCTTGTATCAGCGACCTCTGGGTTGTTTCCATATCTTGGCTGCTGTAATAATGCTGTGATGAACACAGGGGTGCATGTGTTTTTTTTTATGTTTTATGTGAATTAGCGTTTTGTTTTCTTCAGGTAAATACCCAGAAGTGGAAATGCTGGATCATGCCGTATTTCTATTTTTAATTTTTTGAGAACCTCCATACTATTTTCCATAATGTCTGCACCTATTTACATTCCCACTACTAGTGCGTGAGGGTTCCTTTTTCTCCACATCCTTGCCAACACCTATTGTCTTTTTGATACCAGCCCTTCTGACAGGTATTAGGAGACTTCTCATTGTGGTTTGGACTTGTATTTTCTTAATGATTAGTGATGCTGAGCATCTTTATAGTACCTGAAGGCCATCTGTATGTCTTCATTGGAGAAAAGGTCCATCCAGTTTCTTTGCCCATCTTTAAATTGGATTATTTGGGTTTTTTGGGTGTTCAGCTATAGAAGTTTTTTTTTTAATATACATTTTGGATATTAACCCTTTACTATATATATATATATATATATATATATATATAATATGTATATATATATCTATATAAAATTATATATATCATTTGTAAATGTGTCCTCCTATTCAGTAGGTTCCTTTTCATTTTGTTGAGAGTTTCTTTCTCTGTGCAAAAGCTTTTTAATTTGAAGTAGTTCCAATTGTTTATTTTTGCTTCTGTTGCCCTTGTCTGAGGAGACAGATCCAAAAGAAAAAAAAATATGTGTGTATATATATATATATATATATATATATATACACACACACATATCGCTAAGACCAATATCCAAGAGTTTACTGCCTTTATTTTCTTTAAGGAGTTTAATGGTTTCATATCTTACATGTAGACCTTTAATTCATTTTGTGTTCATTTCTGTATGGTGTTAAGAAAGTGGTCCTGTTTCATTCTTTTATGTGTATTGTCCAAAACTGGACACCTACTTTTATTTATTGAAAAGAACTGTCTTTTCCCCATTGTATATTTTTGCCTCCTTTGTTGTAAGTTAATTGACTACAGAAGTATAGGTTTATTTCTGGACTCTATTCTATTACACTGAGATCTGTGTCTATTTTTGTGCCAACACAAAATGGGATATCATCCCATTTGGATTACTATAGCTTTGCAGTATAGTTTGAGATGTGGGAGTGTGATACCTCCAGCTTAGTTTTTCTTTCTCAGGACTGGTTTGGCTATTTGAGGTCTTTTGTGGTTCCATGCAAACTTCAGATTTGTTCTAGTACCATGAAAAATGCTATTTATTTTGACAGGGATTACACTGAATCTGTAGATTGCTTTGAGCGGTATGGACATTTTAACAATATTAATTATTCCAATCCATGAACACAGAATATCTTTCCATTTATTTGTGTCATGTTCAATTTCTTTCATCAGTGTCTTATGGTTTTCAGGATATAGGTTTTTCACCTCCTTGGTTAAAATCATTTCAAGCTATTTTATTCTTTTAGATTCAACTATAAATGGAATTTTCTTATTAATTTCTTTTTCTACTGGTTCATTATTATTATATATGATTATAACAGATTTCTATATATTAATTTTATATCCTGCAGTTTTACCAAATTCATTTATTATTCAAATAATTATTTGCTAGAGGCTTCAGGGCTTTTATATATAGTATTATATCATCTGCAAATAGCAACGGTTTTACTTTTTCTTGTCTGACTCCAGTACTTTGTTGAATAAAAGTGGCAAGAGTGGGCATCCTTGTCTTGTTCCTGACATTAGAGGAAAAGGTTTTGGCTTTTCTTCATTGAGTATAATATTAGTCATGGATTTGTCATATATGGCCTATATTATGTTGAAGTATGCTTCCTCTGTATCCAGTTCGTTACTTAGCTGACCTTCTTAAACCAACAGCCAGATAAAATGAATAACTGCACCTCAGTCTCAGAATAGTCCCTTCAGGGGCACCTGCGTGGTTCAGTGGGTTAAAACCTCTGCCTTCAGCTCAGGTCATGATCTCAGGGTCCTGGGATCGAGCTCCGCATCAGACTCTCTGCTCAGCGGGGAGCCTGCTTCCCCCCCTCTCTCTGCCTACTTGTGATCTCTCTCTCTGTCAAATAAATAAATAAAATATTTGAAAAAAAATTTTGAAAAAAAGAGAATAGTCCCTTCAGCGTTCCTCACCTCCATGCCAACTGGATATTGCTTCCTCCTACACTGCATTAACTTAAAATAAATCCACGTACTCCTACACAAACAATACAATAGCCATCATAATACTTCTTGGCTTTCACTCTACCCCACTGCCTTGAACACAGATGATTTTCCTGGGAAATATTTTTTACACATCAACTTACTACATGCAATAACTTTTTTCGGCAAGAAAATACAGCTTGTGTGAGCCAATTTAAAGGAAATTTTAGTGTAAATGGAAAATTGATCCAAAAACTCCAATGTGGATTCTTAGACTTTCTTTTTTTTTTTTGTTATAGCACAACTTATATATTTCAAATGGACAAAAAATTAGTATCGTTTACAGTATCTTAAGATAAATTGCCTTTGAATGGGAGCTTCCTTTCCAGTACTTTGAGGTCTACAAGACGTATCTAGAAAATGTACTACTGTGAAAAATGACTGCTTAAATCGAATGGGGGAGTGGGGAGGGCCTGTGGTTTCTCTTTTTAATTAATGCTGTAACACTGTCCTTCAGGTGGCTGAGGGAGTTTCATGTTTTCTTTAGACATCATTAGGCGCCGGAGCTCTTGCAGGACAACTCTGATGCTATATGAATTCTGCCATTTTGCTAGCACTGATATGGCTCTTGGGTCCACCACTCCATTAGAACTATTAACTCCATTCATATTAATTTTTGTTACAAATCTTACAAAGGGGGGTGCTTCTGGGTATTTAGGTCCACATTCTATTTTAAGGCTGTATATTCGGTTTTCATAAATTGTTCTTGGAGGCCCAATTATCATCCCTGTCCATCTTGTAAGTGTCATGTCTTCGTCATCTTCTAGACCCCAGCTAACTGTGCCATCTCCTACTCCTTTCTGGCCTTCTTCCAGTTCTTCCAACAGTCGAAAATTGCGATGGACTTTTACTCCCGAGCCTGTGGTGGCTGCCATCTTGCGTCGCTGTTGTTCGAAGGCCGGCCTTCTTAGACTTTCTTTTTCCTAATGTTTTTATCCTTTTGAGCTTCCTAATACATTTTGATTCCATTAGCTAATATCCTTTCTTTGCATATTTGTAACATCCTAGTTTCTATTTCCTTTTATCCCATTCATTCTATTCCAGCCAATCCTAGATCTAATATATATTTGGCTTCCCTATTCTTTTGTCTAGAGTGCTTCTGGAAAATGTAACACAAAAGCACAGGCTGGTATCATTATAATTCATGGGTCTATGTTAACCACCTGTCCATTGTTAGAACCGGAATTGGTTTCTTGGCAAATAAGGTACATTTAACCTGAGTTTAAGGAAAAGCAGAAACTAAGAATCTTGTGGAGGAAGCCTATCTGCAGAGAGGAGAACAGAAAGACAGGCAGGGGAGATCACATAGAAAGAGAGGTGTTGACTGAGTCAAAGGCAGAGGGGGCTGCCTGACATTTCAGTTTTACTATGTTGCCCTACATCTCCTGTTTTTTGAGGTACCTTGAGAAGATTTTTACCTGAGAAGACTTATCCTCAAAATATATTACTCCTTGGGGCACCTGGGTGGCTCAGTGGTTAAAGCCTCTGCCTTTGGCTCAGGTCATGATCCCAGGGTCCTGGGATCGAGCCCCACATGGGGCTCTCTGCTCAGCGGGGAGCCCGCTTCCTCCTCTCTCTCTCTGCCTGCCTCTCTGCCTACTTGTGATCTCTGCCTGTCAAATAAATAAACAAAATCTTAAAAAAAAAAAAATATATATATATATATATATATATGACTCCTTATAAAATATGGACCTAACTTTACAAATACTTTGGTTTCTATACCTGCCAGACTGATTGCACCCAAGTTCGTTCTGCTGGGCAATATGGTTTCCACTGGCCAACACTTTCTCAACTAGCCCATGTATTTGCATTATGATAGAACTTTTAAAATGTGTCTGTTAGTATTTTCTCATTAGGTTGCAAGTTCTAAATTGCATCTTTCATTTCTTTTTATGCTGGTAAACGTATAGTCTTGAGCTCTATGACCATATTTATAGTAGATGATCTTTAGACAGTTTCTGAATAAATAAATAAATAAATAAATAAATAACTGACTCACTCATTATTAGTCTTCAGAAAGATGATAATAGCAAAAAGCTCTAGAGTCTTAGTGCTCAGAAAGGGTAAGAAATGAGAGAGGAAGAAACACAAATGAATAAAAATGAAAGAATTTACTTCCACCAAGATTCCAAAGGAGGAATGAGAGGATAGGCCAACAGACTGAGTCATTCCTGAGGCCAAAGCATGAGACAGGAAGGAATGGTCTTCTAGCACTCTAGGTCTCTGCATTTAATATCCCCTTCTGACCTGCCATTGACATTCAAAGGGTACCAAAATAAGAGTGAGCAGAAATATCTAATTATATTTACATTTTAAAGGCAGGGGAAAATATATTTGCAGAACTGAACATTGTTTTACCAGTAACCTTACTACCTACAATCTAAAAGACATCATCACCTTAGTTTATTTTGTTTTGTTTGCTCTGCTTATTTCTGGAATTGTGGTTTCTCTCTAGAATAACTCCGGAGTGGAAACATGTGAATATTCCTGAGTTATTAAAATAACCACTAGTCTTCACATTCAAATGTGGCAAATATAAAAGGTAACTACTTTACTACACTATGAACATAATATTTGGGGCAGAAAATAAGAGGAAAGAAGCCTCTACACACTTGTAAGAAATGCCTAAAAGTGATCCAACCTTCTGCTCTTTAAAGTTTGGGCAACTGAAGAGAAACATCATGGGGTCACAACTTCATTTGGTTAAATATATGGTTTTAAAACACAAAGCTATTCATTTACAGTTTTCTGCTTAAATTTCCAACCACATTTTTAAGCACAAAACTGAGTGGTTCATGAGTTAACAAGATGCCACCAAAGAAAACATTGCTTCATGGGGTGTTGCTTCTGAGATCCTTGGAAACATCAGAATGTAGTGGTCCCCCTCTTCCCACAAAGTGACCCTTTAAATTTGAAAGTCATTGGTTTGCTAATGGTTGGTTTCAAGCTGCAGTGTTCCACAAACTGTTTTGTTCTTACTCTATGGTCTGGGAATAATATGCCTCAAGGAATGGTGGCTGATATTCTTTTCATTTTCCTCCATAATTTTCTCACTAAAATGTTTAATTAGTGAAAAGGCAACATATTTATAGATATAATAAAACAGTAGAGGAAGAACTATTTTAAATATATGCACAACATGTTATATTTAGATATACACACATATATTTAAAGGATACTTTAAGTCATACACACGTGATTCAGAAAACTGTACTATTACATTTCCCCAGTGCATGATGAAAGTGAAATGATACATGAACAACAAATTCTTTGAGATGTTCCAAGATAAAAGGAATATATTATGCAAAAATTATAAAAGATTTAAGATACCAGAAGTTAAATATAGTAAAGACTTATAATAACAGACACTATCCACTCATTTCTCATAAGGACTTTAAAATAGGTATCAAAATCCCATATTAAAAATATGGAGACTGAGGACCAAAGAAGCTAAAATGAATTTTAATTCTAATAAAAGACGTATGAAGAGTTATTTCATCAATTTCTAAATTAACTATTTTCTCTCACAATATTATTTAAAGGTGACAATGTAGTGAATATCAGTGACATAGTATTTTGAATAAGAGTAATGCTCTGTAGTCAATTTTGGTTTCAAAATTCCTTAATAGGAAGTCCCAAACCAGGAGTTAATGCAGGCTGAAAAGAAAGGTCCTGGAATGAGGAGAACAAAGGAAGAGATACTCCAAAGGGGTATAAAACTATGAAAAATAAATATCACAAATTATGTGTGAGAATAAATGTTTTATAGAGTCATTCAGTAAATCATGTTCTAAGTAAAAGTAATTAAATACAAAAGTTATTTAATTTAATTTAAGAATATTTTTTATATTTTTTTAAGATTTTATTTATTTATTTGACAGAAAGAGAATGAGGGAGAGGGAGAGCACACACAAGCAGGGGGAGCAGTAAGCAGAGGGAGAAGGAGAAGCAAGCTCCCTGCTGAGCAGAGAGCCCAATGCAGGGCTTGAAACCAGGACCCTGGGATTATGACTCAAGCCAAAAGCAGACACTTAACTAAATGAGCCACCCAGGCACCCTAGAATAGTATTATTAGATTTAAAGATATATATATATATATTTCAAGATTGATTTATTTTAGAGAGAGAGAGAGCCCATGAGCATGAGTGGGAGCGACAGAGTGAGGAGAGAGAATTTCAAACAGACTCCATGCTCAACATGGAACCTCAGGCTGGGGTCACTCTCACAATCTTGAGATCATGACCTGAGCTGAAATCAAGAGGATGCTTTATCAGCTGCACCACCTAGGAGCCCCATATTACGTTTAATGCAAGAGACCAATTAACAAATGCTATCGGTAATAACTGGCCACCTAGATAAATGACAATGTAAGTTATTAGAGAAAAAAAATTCTTAGTTACATCTGAAATGCTTTATACATTTCCTATGCTAGCAAAGTTATTAGAGAACAAAAATTCTTAGTTACACCTGAAATGCTTTATACATTTCCTGTGCTAGCAAAGTTAAAAAAAGTGAGATCTTCATTTTCATCCAAATTTGCAGCAGATATATTCCCAACTTCAAATTATAATTCCAGCAGTGTTTGTTAGATCTTTCATATTTCAACATTCACTGAGTAAAAATGAAAAATTCACTTGACTGAGTTTTAATGGAAGCAACTGAAGAGCTTCTATCTAACCTTCAATTGAATGTGATTAAACTATAATGTAATGGATTCTCTGAGCCACCTCTAACTCGGCACAAAAGAAAAGCCTGTTGGATAAGTGAAAAAGCTAATCTAGTTTTTCCTGTTCCTACTGAACTTCAAGCAGAATGAGAGTACCAAGGCCAGCTTTTTCTCCACCTATCTGGAGTTAATAATTTGAGGACAAATTTGAATTACTCTTTGGAACCAATTAACAGAATTACTACCAACAGGAGAGGTAATCAATATTAGCAAGATGAAATCATCATCAGTGATGAATTCTAACCTCATCTATTTTTTAAGGTCTTTAAGTAAAGCATGACTCTTAGAGGACTGAAATGCAAAATAAAGAGAGAGTGAAAGAGAAGGAGATAGTCACTACCCTCAATTCTTTCATTAATTTGCTTACCATACAAAGAAATAAGTAGAAATGACTGACAAATGTTATCTGTGAATGCTTTAGATTTTGTTCTTGTTAAATTGTTTTGTTTTTGTTTGCCCCTTAATGTTATGGCTTTATGTGACTATTAGCTGAATATCTGTGCATTCACAGCTTTGGGTCATAGAATCTTAATTAAGATTACTAGGGTAATATTGTTGCTTATGATTTTATATCTGTTGATGATTTAAAACAAAAACGAAAGAAAATAAACAGATTTGTCTGTTAATACCTGCTTTAAAAAAGCCCATAATGTAATGCAGGTTAAAAGGCAAATATCAAAGTTCTAATCTAATAGAATTCTATAAATTTCTTACAAATGGACAAATATGCTCAATTAAAATAACATGCTAACAGGCTGATATCAGTATTAGGAGGGCCTGTCTGTGTAAAAGACATTTTCAAAGATAAAAAAATGCAAAATCTCATTTCATTAACTGATGTATCTTTGCAATCAATTTCAATGAGAGAGAACACCAACACTGAACATTTTACAACATTTAAAGGAAATATGCATAATTTGTATTTCAATAAAGAAAAAAGTCTTAATTGACATTGATGTGGATTTCTAACTTCTTATCCAATTTGAAATTTTTTTTAAAGATTTATTTATTTATTTGACAGAGATCACAAGTAGGCAGAGAGGCAGGCAGAGAGAGAGGAGGAAGCAGGCACCTCACTGAGCAGAGAGCCCGATGTGGGGCTCGATCCCAGGACCCTGGGATCATGACCTGAGCTGAAGGCAGAGGCTTTAACCCGCTAAGCCACCCAGGCGCC